TTGCTTAAGGCTTATAACCTCCCTCCTCCATTGTCACTATTCCCAGCTCCAAAACCCTAATTTTCTTGGTCCATTTGCACTACAACCCTTAGCATCACACCTCCATCATCCATTCCAGCACCTTGGAATCCATTTGCAGAGGTTGAAAGCTCACCAACTTGGTCCAAAAGCTGCTGGAGGTCAGCTCTTCAAGGGTAAGTCCTCATGTCCCCCATTTTTGCATTATTTTGCCCTATGCCTTAGCTCCATTTTCAAGAATTTTCGAGCCTTGGTGTAAACTGAAAATAGTATTATTTTGAGCTCCTCTTCATGTTTGTTTAAGAACACTTTTCTGTTTGAGGCCTCCTACACCCCTACATGCTTTACCCCTCTTTGTAGGCCTATTTTGCATCATATCTTGGCCCTACTTGTGAGCACTTTCGAGATTTTCTATAAACTGTAAAGTGACTTATTTTGAGCCCTTCTTCAACTTTGTTTAAGGGAAATTTAATGTTTGAGGTCATCTACTTCCTTGTTTGTTCAATCTCTCTTTTAGGGCTATTTTTGCATCATACTTTAGCCTTACTTGTGAACATTTTTGAGATTTGTTATGAACTGGAAAAAGTCTTGTTTTGATCTCCTCTTCAAGTTTTGTTAAGGTCCTATTTCTTTTTGGGGTCATCTTCCCCCTATGCATGCTTCATCTCTTCATGATTAAGGCTATGCATTAGAGCACTTGCATTGGCCATGGTTTGGCCTCTTAGCCACTGAAATCCAGTGGATTTTCAGTGGCTTGGATACATTTTTGAGGGCCAAAATTAGAGGGGGGTGACCCCCTCTCTCCTTGTCTTGTTTGGGGATCTTTTGGGCCTTCCAAAGGGACCCTATTTTGCATGCATTGAAGTCACTTTTTGGGTCCAATTTTGTGAGTTTTGGGGTCTACCTGAGGTCTGTCTGGGGCTCTTTTGGCCATTTTTTATACCTACAATGCATGTGTAGAACAATTCCATTCAAGGCCTTTTGAGGAGGCCTTTCTTGGCATGTTTCCCAGACTGATTTCAGGGCCAATTTTGTGAGTTTTAGGGCTGTCATAACTCATTTCCAGAGTTGGTTTGGTCATGCTAAGTGTCTATCTTATATGTGCTTAACAACCCCTTGAATGGCCTTCCAAAGAAGCCCCTCATTTTTACATGCATTGGCTGCATTTCAGTGATTATTTGGGCATATTTTGGCATGTTTTATTTACTGTTTTTGTCTGGTTTGGTGAGTTCTCATTTGCTTCATATACATGCCATATAAACCATGTTTGCTAGTCAATGTTACATGCTATTTTAGTCTATCATTTTAGCATCTTTTGGCCATGCTCTAAACTAGAAATGTGCATGTTTTGGGACGGCCTTGGTTCTGTCTTTAGACTTCATAATCAAATAATGCTTGCTTTGTATATATAGCGATCCCGGGTTTACCCTTGTTGTACAGTGATCCGGACATGTGTCCGTGGATGTTGGTAGTTGTTTATTATCTTGCTTGCATCCTTTTTACTTCGTATTGAGTTATAGGATGTGTTGGGCAGGTTTGTTTCAGGTTGGTTGTGTTTGGGAGCCTAGTGTTGCTGCCCAGATTTTTGGACCTTCGCTCGAGCGAGGCGTTGGTCGCTCGAGCGAGAGTTGAGTTTGTGTCTGGTGGGTCGAGCCAGAGTAGCTTCGCTCGAGCGAGCGATGGCGTCTGGTTCTGGACCTGAGAGTTGTGTTTCTTGGCTCGAGCGAGCTTTTCTTGGCTCGAGCGGTCTGGTTTGCTCTTCGCTCGAGCGAGAGGTCTGTCGCTCGAGCGTGCGTTTGGTTGCAGACCTGAGGGTTCAAGTTGTTGGCTCGAGCGAGCATTCTTTCGCTCGAGCGCACTTTTGAGTTTTTGGCTCGAGCGAGAGCTTCTTGGCTCGAGCGAGTGTTTTCTGTGTCTGGTCGCTCGAGCGACCAAGTCTTCGCTCGAGCGAGCGTGTTTTATATCAGCGGACAGTAGCGTTTTAAACATCACTTTTTCACCTTTTCTTTTTGATCAAACCCTAGATCCGAGACTCTCTCTCTCTACACTTATATTCTCTCTAAGAATTGATCTCCCTAGAGTATGAATCTAACCTAGGGCCTTTGTTAAAAAGATAGAGGGCATTAAGAGCTTTGTTTTAATCTGAAAAAGTTTGGATTTGGAGCACGTTGGTCTTCGGGTCTTCATCTTCTTTTTGGCTCAAACGTCGTGGTAGGGATATCCTACTCCTCTCTATGGGTTTTGTCTTTAAATTTTGGCATTTTGAGATGTTGGGGTTGGTTTGGTAATTTTGTGAAAGTTTGGGGGCTTTTGTGTAATTTTACAAAAGTTGGGGTTTTATTCATAATAAACCTGAATGCATGTTTGGCATAGAGAAATGGAATAAATGTTAAGTCATTGATGAAAATGGGACCTAAGGGTTGAAATGTTAAATATGGGAATTGACCTAATTACATTGTTTAATTAATTGGGATAATTAATTGTGAGGAATGAGGAAATGAAATGTTGATTGAATATCCATTGTGCATTTATTTTCTGTATAGAAATAACTGCTTTGGGCTATCGGTGGAGGATAGTCGTGATTGTTGTAGACAATGCATGATGATTAGGCAAACGAAAACTAATCAATGGAATGTGTCATGAACTTGCACGGTTGATAGAAAACATTAACATATATGTATTGAGTGATTGTATATAGAACCAAATGTGTTTTATACGTTATGTGTAGAAGGAGGAGATGGGGGATGTTACTCGCGCGGTTTAGGGGAAGATAGGGGATGTACCATTAAACGAGATAGTGTTGGGAAGAAGATAGGGATAACTCCGTAGATACAGCTATATGCCTTGTCTAGAGAAGGAAGATACGAGCTCATATGCTTATCTTTTTGTGAAGTGTGGATATGCTTATATGCTTATCTGTGGATATTGTGGTTATTACATATCTGATGAGAATTGATAGAACATATGTCTTATCTGTTGAAAAAGGGAAAATGAAAAGTAAGCTTGGGACTATAAGTCGTGACATAAATATGTGATGTAGTGATTTGTATCAGTGTTGACCATTATCAATTGCTATATTTAGTCATTGTTCTATGGATTGGTTTAGTATATTTCTACTGGGCTATGGCTCACCTATTGAATATCATTTTCCAGGTACAGGGAGCATGCCACCTTCAAGAATAGCTTGGAGGCTAGAGATGGACACAATGGTGTCGCTTTACTTTTTGATGTATTACTGTAAATACACCAGCATGGGGAGGCTTAAAGTGTATGAGTTAGTAGCTCCTTTTGTGTAACAAGTTTAACTTTGGAAAGCTGAAAGCCCGTAGGGCAATTTTGCTTTTGTTGTTAACATGTAATACTTATTATAAGATCTGAAGAAATGGAAGAATATGGTTATTTTCAAATGTTACTGAATCTCTTAATTGTTGGGTTTAATCTTTTATTTTGAGGGCGTTTACAGTAACTTATGGTTCAAATGCATGGTGCCTATATTGAGTTCGGGCTTATTCCATTGCATCGGTGCCATATTTTCACGTTTCGGGACGCATTTAGCATTATGTTTCATGCTCAAAATTACATGTGTTTGAATGCATGCTTCGTCCTTCAGTTTTTTTGTAGAGTGGCATTCAATGCCTTAAGGTTCGTCTCGCGTTTGCGTGCCATGTGTG